TTACACCCCATACCAAAATGAAGTGTGGTAAGTGAAGCTTTTAGCGTAGCCAATCAGCCAACAACACGTTTGAGGAAAAAGTGGTCACACACTTCAGTGGATTTGTGCCAAATGTCTCACCAGCGCTGCAATCGGGGCAGTGCGACCCATTTTGCATATAGAAGTGGCAGAAATTTCTATGCTTGGTATAGTGAAGCTCTTTCTCCTTCATTCTAGACCCGGTGACGCCCCTCCCAGTAGGTGCACGATTCAGCTATTGGTTGTTGCTCTCCACTCCTTTAGAGTAGCTATTCAAAAGTCAATAGGTGCTGAGGTAGATGATATAAATGTTTTGGGTACGGTGAGGCCCTGTTCCAATCAAGTTGTATAAATATATATCTCTTTTTGGTACTTTAGAGGCTTGTAGACTAGTGTTAGCATTCGGTTGCATGTAATGGTTGGGTATGACTATGTTGGTGGCAGTAATGACCATGTATAAAATGCCAATGTTTTTTATGTTAATCAGTTATTATCATTATAATTCAGGTATTATTACTTGGAGGCCTCAATGGCCCTGATTTTATGAATAAAAATATGTAAGAGCATGTGTCGGTTCGCAAGGGCCTTAGGGCATCGTGTGCCGGTCGCACCTCCCAAGGCTGGGGTATGACATACATTTTATTATTCTTGTTGCCAGTTATTTGATATATTGCATATGTCCTTTGACTAATGAGTATCACATAACTTGAAACTCGTTAGTCGTTATTACTTCACCGAGGTTAGTCTTGATACTTACTGAGTATATGTTGTCTCGTACTTATACTACACTCCTATATTTTTATGCAGATTCGAGTGTTGGTAGTAGTGGACCTCAGAAGTGAGAATTGATTATTCGAGAGGATTCAAGATAGTGCCGCATGGATGCCACAGACCCTTGGAGTCCCCTTTTCTTATTTCACATTATTGTATTACTTACGAACAATATTGTACTTTTGAGACACGTTATGTATTCAATTTAGAGCTCGTGACTCTGTACTACCTGATTTTGGTCGTTGGCTTATGTACCATTGTATTGGTTTTGTTGGAGCTTTATTCATTGTTTATGTTAAATTCAGACTTATTATATCTTATTTCGCTGTTTTTATATTATTGTGTGACTGACTTACCTAGTCTTGGAGGTTAGGTGCCCTCACGACCTTTGGTGAAATTTGGGTCATGACTTTTGCACTAGTGAAGGTACAAAAATTTGTAATCGTTCATGCACGTTTGATAATTCAATAAAAAATTTAATTCCATCATAGTTTATTGGGGTTTTAGTTGTCAAAGCTTCAAACTCCAATACTGATTGCTGGAGTTGTGTTTCGTGTTTTAGTTGGACGCCAAAACATCAATTGAATTGGACCAGTGGAACTCTATTGTTGCATTTTTTAAAGAGAAATTTTCATAAAGCACTATCTTTTAGCGGTAATTAGCTATCCATAGATAACATTTGCTATACTACGAATTGTAGATACATTTTATGTTGTTATAAGATGTATTAGATGTATTTAAGCTACTGTATTCATGAATACAATAGCAAAAATAGGCGTGAATCAGAAAAGTTCAGCTAATCAGTTGTTGTATTCGAGTGTATTCGACTGTATTCATGGCGTGAAACATGAGATTACATCTGGACAGATTATTGTATTCGACTATATTCACAGCATGAAACAGGGGGTTACACTGTTTTTAAACGGAAAGTGGATCAATTAACATAATAGACTCCTAATATAACTCAACAAACTCAATTATAATACACAAAATTTGTATTTCCTTGTATAAAAAAGATTCTCAACCGAAAAATACCCCAAAAATATAGCAATCTTCAGAGAAATTATATAATACATCTGAATACATAAATTATATTAATTAAAAAACATAAGAATACATTCATGGCATATAGCGAGACAGTGACTACAATGAAATACATAGAATACAGCGAGATACATTGAAATACAATGAAAAGAAGACAGTGAATACAATGAAATACAACGAGATACATTGAATTACAATGAAAAAAAAACAATGAATACAATGAAATACATGAAAATACAGCGTGATACATTGAAAATACATTGAAACGGAGAGGAGATTTTTGGGTATGATTGAATCAAGTCCCATTGCTTTTGGACCTAAACTGCCGTTTGAAATGGCATTGCAATGTAAACTTTACGAATCTTGTGCTAGCTATTTGTGTTGGTCGTTAATGGGGTTCTTGCCCTATTTTGGCGCTTGTTATGTCCAGGCGTGTGACAAGGTTTTTTAGGGTGGGAAGCGGCTAGTTGCTGTGACTGGAGACGGGGTGTTCTGGCCGCTGGTGTTGTTGGTGGAAGAGGGTGGACAGATGGAGGCTTGGGAGTGAAGAGGAGAAGGAGTTTGGGTGGCTCAGGCTTAGAGGTTCAGGGGGGGGGGGGTCGCTGGCTCTTGGATTTTTCGGTGACTGATGGCTGGCGGCAGTGAGCAACTGGTGGACTGGCGGCTGCTGCTTAGGGGCATTGGATGCTGCTGGTTTTGGGGGTTCTCATGGTCTAGGATGTGTGGAAGAAGTAGAAGGGGTCGTTGGTTGTGAGATCAGCGAGCGGAGACCTCAGTCGTGTTTTCAGGGAATGAGGGAAGAGAATGACATGTATCAAAGTGAGAGAGAAAGAAAATAATGTAACTGAATAGCGTATTTAGTGGCTTAGAGGTAAGAGGTACCTAAAATTAGATATTTTGCTATAAACATTAAAAGGTATCTATAGAATATAATTTTTTTAAATAGTATTTATTTAAAATAAATAAGGTGTTAACTTTTGCTATAAGAGGTAAAAATTCCTTTAAAATATAACTTAGCTCTAAAAATCAGCCCAAAAAGAGGCCCACACAGTTAATTTAGAAATCGACAAAATATTTTTTAGCTCAATAGATGGATGAAGGAGATTTTTGTGCAAAATCTAATAGGCCAGGGCAGTATTGGCACTCTTTCTTACTATAAATAAATATTTTGATCTTAAATTATATATATATATATATAACTCCAAAAGTAATTTTTAAGTTGTTGCAAGGACTTTTGGCGTTAGTTTATTTTTTAAGTTTTACTATTCGCTAAAATAGTTATTGTATCTCTTATTTGGGTGATACATGCTTTAATAAAATAATAAAATATATATATATATATATATATAATTAATGGGTTAATCTTTTTTCCACCTAACTCATTAGTTACCTAACTCATTTTATACTCGCATAAATATGAGCGGATAGAGTTGTAACCTATCTTTTATTTGACTTATTTTGAATCTTTTAAATACAGTTTAACCAGCCCATTTGTCACTGCTATTTCAAAGTAATGCTTTCAACCTTCCTCAAGGAGATTGACACAAATGGTCCTATAAGAAGGTTGGTCCTTAATTAATTGCTCTGTTTTTAATGTGTTTAGAAAATGACTCTCGACCCACACACATTTATTGCTCGTCATAGATTTATCTATCGGATTGGTGTATATTATGCTTTATTTACTCTACTAATATTGTTAATTTTTTTGCAAACTTTACTAGGTTTTCATGACTTTGTAATTATTGTATTATTCATCAAATTGTATCATATTGGCGTGACTTTATATTATTTGCATTCGTCCTGTTTGTTAAATTATTCACATACTCTGTCTATTGACATGACTTGTGCTTGTTTAATTATTTATTATACTCTACCAAATTAATGTGACTTTGTGTTATCTTCATTTGACCTATCTATAAAATATTCATCAAAATCTACTTGATTGACATAAATAATCTATGTTGTCAGCACAGTGTTATTCAAATTTACAATTTTAATTTGGATCAAATAACCTAAATTTACTCCAAATGATCTCAAATTTTAAACAAAGCCTCCAAATACCGACACAAACGATCTCAAATCACTATTTTAGTCTAATAATACCAAATAAAAAGAACCACTTTGTCTTCTTCAACACAATCTAAGGACTAAAAATGAAATTTTAAGATTTTTAAAGCCATAAACTAAATCAGTGCTTAGACTAAAAATTTAAGCACAGATTATTAATATTCAACGATTTTAACAATTATCTATCATTAACTTTCAGTTTCTACCACCAAATAAGATTTTCGAACTTCTAAATTTGAAGAACTATGGTGTTGTTGGCGAAGAAGAACTTTGCAATGCACATAAAAGTAATAAAAACCTATTTTCTTCAAAAAAGTAAAAAATAGAAATAATATTTAAAGATCAGTTCCTCAGGGATAACGGTACAATATTTTGCCCTCCTCGCTCTCACCCCCAATCCATCGGCAGAAATTCAAAAATAGTCATATTTACAACTGGTCGTTCAAAAATAGTCCAGTTTCAAAAGTAATCAAAATTTATGTAAAGATAAATCTGAGCGAAACTACTGTTCAAAACTCGAAAAATACGCCAGTATATTATGTTGGAGTTCCAACATAATATGATGGAGTCCAGCATAAGTACACTAGAACTCCAACATAATATATTGGAGTTCCAGCAAGTATATCGGTCCAACATAATATACTAGAGTTTGGAACACCGGTGCTCTAGTCTCCAATATATTATACTAGAGCCAACAAAGTATACCGGTCCAGCATAATATGCTGGAGTTCATACACAGGTGCACCGAACCCCATTATATTATGCTGGACCGGTCTCTGTTGCAACAAAATAATGGCTATTTCGTATTATTTTTACCAATCCATCCCCTACCCCACTCTCCTGTCCACCCCCTCCTACTCCAGCCCAACCCACCACCTCCGCCCCCTGAGACCTGACCCTACCTACAACGCTCTCCCTCTCCGGTCCACCCCGTCTCTCGTAGTGTTTGTTTAGTAAATACTCTTAAGATAATATTTTTTGTTTATTAACGAAAAAACAAAAAATAAATAAAAGTACTTATTTTTCAAAAAAGAAAAAATTTCAGAAAAATATTTTCCATGAAAATAACAAACACTATAATGAGCTTTTTTCTTCCCTGATAATGTCCTTTTCATTTGTCTCAATGAAAGTAAAAAATGAGCTGGTTGGCAACCTGAGAAATTTTCGACAGAAAATGACGAATATTAGAGTCCTACTGATTCTACTGCTACTGCCGGCGGCGGCGTTTCTTCTGCCCGGTGCAGCAGAATCCGGCAGCGGTCAATCGTTAGTGGAATGGGAGATCCTGTCGAAGCTGAACTACTCTTCCCAGATTCGCCTCCATCCCCATCTTCTTCTTTTGGTCACTGTCCCTTGTAATCCCCACTTTTGTCTTTCCACTTTCAAGACTTTTCTTATCAAATATTTGCTGCAAATAAAGGCTTTGCTTAGCTTGTAGTGCATTAGGACTGATATAGATGTTGACCTGACTCATGTAGGAAGGGTTCATTTTGTTGTTCTTAAAATTGGGGGCTTTTCTACAAGACTGACGACCTGATTTTGAATCTTGTTCTAAATTGATATGTAAATTTATTGCGTGGATGTTTGTATATCAAGTACAATTTTATGGTGTGAAGAGTTGCTGACAGGGAGGTACCTTAGAAGTGATTTAGCGTCCTTGTTTAAGATATTTTGTTAAGTATGCTTTGTGTGAACGTATTTCTAATCCATTTTATTTTATTTACATTATATTGGCATAAGTTGATTTAAATGGAGCAACGTGGTCGATGAGGATTTATGTAACCGACCCTAACCTGTTTAGGACTGAGACTAGTACTAGTTGTTGTTGCATACATTCTGAACCTAGAGCGTTGCAATGTCAAATTGTGGGAAATGATCTGGTTAATTAACCAAAGTTCATGGTGAAAGTTCACTGTACAGTCAGCTTTTGGTAGGGTAATACAGTAAGCGTTTTTGCCATCAGAATTCTAACTTGTACCATTCTGTGTATTTTCAGAGTTGTAGTTTGTTTGCTTGTGTTTAAGCGATTTGGAGGGGTTGCAAAAAGAGATGAGAAATATAAAGAGAAAAAAAATTGCTGAAAGGAGGCAGAATGGTAGTTTGAAAAGAAGTCGAATTGAAGTATAAAGAAGATATCATGGTTGAAAACAACAAAATAAAAAGCGAGAGAAAAAAGAATATTTTTTGGTGTGAAGAATAGGTGGAACCAAAAGTGTAAAAGTAGACGTTTGAAAATGAAGCAAAATTGGTTGAGTTTCTAGAAAAAGAATAGCAGGAGGAAAAGGGTTAGAGTTACCAGGTCTTGGGAAACCAACGAGAAGAAGTGAGAGAATAACTTATTACAAACAGTTTGCCTTAGAGAAGTTAATCCAGACTTGATGGTTATGAGTGCCGGTGGCTAGAATCACAGGAAAGTATCATTCCTGGAAATCCTTTTACTTTCTAAAGAATGATTTGGTGTCTGGGTGACTATTTCTAGAATGCTAGACTAGGTTTAGGTCCATGAGGTATGAATATTTTGAAAAAGAAGTCAAAGGACAATGCTTCATGTAAGCTATGAACCAAATTTGTAATTCTACTTTATTAGGAAGGAGGTAGAATACATATGACAATTATTCATTAGCCAGAGTTGCTTTCATCATCATTATTTCTTTCTGCAGGAGTTTGATTAAGTTGACGATGTTCTTTGTGTTGTTACTAAACTAACCGACCACATGGATAATAAAAAGATTAAAGCTTTACTCTTATAAATATCGTTGTTTAATAAACGTTTAGTGAGTTTATTAAAAAGGTGATGGATTTGTCATACGTCTCTTAAGACAAGATGGTAAGAACGTTAGTTGAGTCCTCAAGTCTTCGTTTCACCGATAAGGATTTGACGCAAGATGTGGGGATAGAGCGTACGTCAAAAGTTCCAACCCTGCTGCTGATTGAAGCCTGGTATCGCGAGTTGCAACTATGGCCCAATTGAGGTTGGATCATTTGACTCATAGAGATTTCTCGATTATTAAAAGAAACGAGAGTGTTGGTTGCCCTACCGCTGATCAGTAGGTGGCTGGAAGGTGAAGGTTAATCATTTTTATTTTTTCCTGATGTTATTATCTCCTTTTATTCCGAAGTAGACCAAAAATCACGTGGAAGGATGTTGTTTCGAAAGACCTAAATCTCTTGGAATCCACGTAGACCTAGCAGAAAAAAGTGCATGATGGAAAATAAGATCTATGTATGTGATACCCATAAGTTGGGACTTTGTTTTAGTCATGTCAGTATGTTTACTTTAGGTTTTATATTTTGTAGGAGTCTTTTTAGATGAAATTTATATGCCAGGGAAAACTATAGAGGACTTCTAGTGCTTTATTATTATTATTGTTGTTGTTGTTGTTGTATAGTATGAGTCTAAGATGAGCTTAAATGGAGCAATATGTTAGTGAGGATTCATATAGTTGATCCTAACTTGCTTGGATTAAGGCGTCATAGTTGTAGTTGATATTACTCCTTCTTTTATGATTGCGCATTTTATTATAATTATATATAGTCCATCTTTATGATTTTTGAAAAATTTTCTGGCTTAAAGATCTATATTCAAGAGTATTCCGGAGGGTTATGAATATTATTGATTATTTGGTCTATTAAGGTCTTTCTACATTGCACATATCCTCCACATCTGGCGTTGGTGACCAGTTTTGACGCAACAAGGATGTGGGTGTGAGAATTGTGCCGAATTGTCAAATACAATAAGAATCGTTAACCAAGGCAAAGAGAGGAAGACAAAGAAGGGAAAAGAAAGAGAAGGAGAGAAAGAGAAGTGGTTATGGAGATTTTGCAATGACAAAATGGGATTGGAAAGAATTACAAGATGGGAAATTCTTGAATGACAATAATGCCGAGTCATTCCTATGAAGTTCGGAATCGGGAACATATCAGAAACTTATGGATATGTTCTCAGAACACATTTACATGAAAACAGGCGATGGTAAAAAACTTTATTTTTGAAAGAAAGATGGTTGAGACATACACCCCTCAAACATCAGTCCCTAGTATTTTCAGCATAGTAAATAATCATGGTGCCACAGTGGAATATTATTGGTCTACTCAAGCATGGATCATTTCCCTTTGGAAGAAAGTGCAACGATCGAGAATTGGAGGAAATGAACAACTTTTTGCATATGATAGATAGCTTTGAACCCTAAACCCTAAACCCATCATTAGCCGCTGAACTTTATTCCCTATCTGGCTAAGCACCCATGGTTAAGTAGCCAAGACCCAGATTGATTACCTCCTCTACAAAGAATGTGATAAAGGTTTATGCACTGATTGCAAGGTCATCTCGAGTGAGAACATCACGACCCAACATAGACTTCTAGTAATGGACCTGGAGATCAAAAGGAGCAAGAGAAAGAGGGCGGTGTGCAGGCAAACTAAGATCAAGTGGGGTAATTTTGACTAAGGACAAAGTTCAAGAGTTGGGGAAGAGGTTGCTGGCTGTGAGGGCTTGGGAGAGTAGGGGAGATGCAACTATTATGTGGGCCACGATCGCAAATTGCATTGGGAAGCTGCGATAGAGGTCTTAGGGGTTACGAAGGGCTATCCTAGGGGCCACAATGGGGACTAGTGGTGGAATGGAAGGGTCCAAGGTAAAGTGGAAGCAAAGAAAGCAGCTTATCCGAAGCTAGTAGAGAGTACAGATGAGGAGGAAAAGAGGATGTATCGGGAGTGTTATAACAAGGCAAGAAAGGAGGCGAAATTAGCGGTCACGGCGGCTAAGACCGTGGCGTTTGGGCGTCTATACGAGGAACTCGGGAGCAAATATTGAGACAAGAAGTTGTACCGGTTGGCCAAGGTGAGGGAGGGGAAGGCCTGTGACATGGACCAGGTGAAGTGTATTAAAGATGAGGACGACAAAGTATTGATGGACGAGGCACATATTAGACGTAGATGGCAGACGTACTTCTATAGACTGTTGAACGAGAAGGGGGACAAAAGTATTGTGCTGGGGAGTTGGAGCACTCGAGAGTCGGTGGGATTTTGGGTATTGTAGGCGTATCAAGGTGAAGGAGGTGGAAGGGGCTATGCGCAAGATGAGTAGGGGCAAAGCGACGGGGCCAGACGAAATTCCACTGGAGTTTTTGAAGAACGTGGGTCGAGCAGGCTTGGAGTGGCTCACTAGGTTGTTTATTGTCATTTTTAAGACAAAAAGGATGCTCGTGGAATGGAGGTGGAGTATGATGGTTCCGTTGTACAAGGACAAGGGTGATATCCAAAATTGCAACAATTATAGGGTATAAAGCTGTTGAGCCACACTATGAAGATTTGGGAGAGGGTTGGTGGAAGTCAGGATGAGGAGGAACGTGTCTATTTTCGAGAACCTGTTCGGATTCATGCTGGGGCGATCAACTACAGAAGCTATTCATCTGGTAAGGAGATTAGTGGAGCAATATAGAGAAAGGAAAAAGGACTTACACATGGTGTTTAACGACCTTGAAAAAGTGTACGATAAAGTGCCGAGAGAAGTTTTGTGGAGGTGTCTGGAGGTTAGCGGCGTTTCGATAGCGTACACTAAGGTGATTAAGGATATGTACGATGGTGTTAATACTCGAGTGAGTACTGTGGGACACTCTTAGCACTTTCCAGTTGTGATGGGGTTGCACCAGGGATCGGCTCTTAGCCCGTTTTTATTTGCCTTGACGATGGACGTGCTGACGCAGCACATACAGAGGGAAGCGCCATGGTGCATGCTATTTCCCGATGATATAGTGTTGATCGACGAAACGCAAAGCGGGGTCAATGCAAGGTTGGAGGTTTGGAGGTAGACCTTGGAGTCTAAAAGTTTCAAGTTGAGCAGGACTAAGACAAAATACTTAGAGTGCAAGTTCAATGACGAGGCTCATGAGTCACACATGGATGTGAAGCTTGATACTCAAGTTATCCCCAAGAAAGATAGTTTCAAGTATCTCGGGTCTTTTATGTAGGGTAACAGGGAGATTGACGAGGATGTCGCACATCGTACTGGAGCGGGATGAATGAAATGGAGGCTTGCGTCCGGCGTCTTATGTGATAGGAATGTGCCGCCAAGACTTAAAGGTAAATTTTACAAAGTGGTGGTCCGACCAACTATGCTGTATGGGGCGGAGTTTTGGCCCAATTAAGAACTCACATGTGCAGAAGATGAAAGTAGCAGAAATGAGGATGTTGAGATGGAAGAGTGGGTATACCAGGAGAGATAAGATTAGAAATGAAGATATTTGGGACAAAGTGGGAGTGGCCTTTGTGGAGGACAAGATGCGGGAGTCGAGGCTGAGATGGTTCGGACACATAAAAAGGAGAAACATTGTTGCTCCTGTCAGGAGATGTGAAAGGCTGGCCATGACGGGTTTGAGAAGAGGTCGAGGTAGGCCAAGGAAGTATTAGGGAGAGATGATTAGACATGATATGACGCTGCTTCAACTTACTGAGAACATGACCCTTTATAGGAAGGTATGGAGGTCGAGGATTAGCGTAGAAGGTTAGTAGGTAGTTGTAAGTTTCTCCTTTTCTTACTAGTTACTTTAGTAGCACTCAGGTTCGTGCATATGCGTAAGTAAATTGTTACTTCGTCATGCGATTTAATTCGCTATTCGCTTCTGTATCGTATTTCCTGTTGTTAGTGTTTAGTACTGCTAATTCCCCTCCCCCCCCCCC